TATCCTTACTGATCATCATATACTGGAGTATATATTCACTCAGATGGATCTAAATCTGAGAAAAATGAGATACCTTGAGTTAATCTAGATCATTTAAGTTATTGACTTAACTTTGAATTTAGAAACTATACATTGACTTATATTGACAAATAAATTAAAAATGAATAAGTAAATTTAAGGATTAGATACAAGTAGCTTAAATCAGAAAAATTATAGTTAAACTTAAAAATGACTAGACAATTAATTAAATCCTTACATTAATTCAAAATAATTTGATAGAAAAGAAAAAAATATTGATATTCAAAATTGTTAAGTATGCACTTCACAAAATAAGAAGGAAAGAAAAATATAAAAAAAGCAAAATAAAATAGTTCAAAATGAAAAGATAAGTACATTAAAAACCTAGTATCAGTTATAGCTTGATTTCAATTGCATCCTACTATTTAACTAAAAAGGATAAAATCAATAATCTAGAATATGTAATAGTGCACTTATAAATTCTATATTTAAACTATAAGCAACTAATATCTATACTACATTACTCATTCTATATTCATAAGTAATTTTATATTTTTAAAAATAGTAGACAATTTTTTTAAAAAATAAGTAATAACAATAATGACTAATTGGGATAAATATTATGTCTTTTCAAATTTGAATTATATCTTTTTTCATTTCAAATTACTTCTAAATAGTTTTGTAGAATCATATATTTAAGTGATTTTAAATTATCAATTTTTACTTTAGCTACTAAGGGACTAATGAGTAAATGTAAATGTTATCATATCGATCAATGTTGAAGCTTCGATTTCAATGTGGCAGCGCTGACCTTCTTTGTTTATTAAATAGATTTTCTTATATTTCATAAATTATTACATCTCATGTGTGAAACTAAATTGGCATAGAAAATGATATGATTGATATAATATAAATATGATATTATAAAATAGGTTGGTTACTTGAAAATTGATTCAAGTTGGTTGGAGCAAGATACTTTGTACAAGAGAGTGGGTTGATGGGCTTTCTTTTAAATTACGGGTTATGGTGTAATCCCGATATAAGATACAAGATAGGGAGTTATAAGGGGACAAGATATGCCAACAGACAGGAGTGACGACTCTTACAAGATAGCCATCTAACGCTTGATAATAATACAAGATATAATAAAATACCATATAACTAGATGAATGTAATACCTTTTTTTTTTGTTATTCATAATTATATCCATATTTACATGCATTTATATAAAGGCATATGAATTGATTGATAAGAAAAACTTATGTAGAACTGATTGAATTTATATTGGAATTGATATAATATGACACATCATGTGATTGGGACATTGATAGACATACTTATATAGCATATTAATATAACATATTGATATGACATACTGATACAAGTCATACAAGTCATAGTGATTGATAGAAATAGATAATAGAACCATCAACATGAATATAATTGATAGAAAATTGAGGCTTGTTTTATTGTACATCACATATTATTGATTGGTAAACTTTTTACTAATTTTCTTATAGGTTGATGGACTTCTTTTGCTTATTGAGATACTCTAATTTTACTAATCATATTAGTTTCTACTTATCATTGATATTGATTGCATAGATTAATTATTATTTATGTTAATAGTATAATAATTTATATTTATTTGGATTGGAAATATTTACATATTGATTCTTTCATCTTATATTGAATGTAGTGGTAGGTTTTGGTTGCTTATTGAGCTTTTTAAGCTCATTATATGATTTTGATTTCAGGTCTCGGAAAGGGTCAAGATCCCATAGAGTGGGGTTGATCAGTATTTTCAAGTTTTATTTTGTTATGTATTTTCTTTTATTATTTTACAGTCAAGAGATGAAAGATAAATTAATGTATTAAATGAGCTCCTCGATATTATAAATAGTATTTTGAAAGAATGAATATAGAATTATGTTTTGATGCATATGATTTGTAGTGAATTTTGCTAGAATTATTAAATTAATGGATAATTAGTAGCTTTGGTAATAATTAAAAAGATAAAAAATATACAATTCTTCTAATTTAAATACTAAGGCATTATACATTACAAGATACTTTTCATGATGATAACAAACACTGATTGAATCACTACCACCATAATCACTAGTGTTGAAAATCTTGACTTCTTTGACATTGTTGGCCCAAACACCCCTCCCATAAAGTGTTAGTGATATTGATGCAATTTTTACACTCATTAAAGATAATAAAAAAATTTCATCGACCAACCCCACTTTGACACCTTCAAGTAATCAAGATTGATTGAGGGTTTGATAAGAGTGGCAATAAAAAGAAAAAAATGTTGAATCTTTAAGGTTCTCTACTAGAGATTGTTTAAAATATTTTATTTAAAAACATTTGTGGTGCATCTACTTCTTCTTGCTATAAACAACAATGTAAGTTGCCCTATTGCTCCGAAAGGTCATTCATCTATGATGAAGTTTTGGACAAGTCAAATCAACATTCATGTATCCATCACTATTTCTATTCCCAGCTTTGAATTCCTTTCCTTAAAGTCTCTTTTGTAGGATTAAAAGTAACTACATGAGACTTTATATCTTGATTGATATAAATATCTTAGTTAATGCTATCTTCTAACATTTGATCAACCAAATGAAGCTAGTCTAATAAAAATTTTAAGCATTATGGCTGAGTCTTATTAGGTTTACTTGTGAACAGAGTGAGATTATGAAAGTGTTGGTCACCTTGGAGGTTAATCTAATGGATGATAAGTGTATTGACAAATGTTGTTTTGCAATGGACACCTTTACCCTATAACACAATATTTGTCCAATAGCTTCACATCAGTTTCTAAATTGTGGTATTCTCTTTTCATATTATCTTCAAATTTCTTGCATCTGATGTTATAGTAATGGTTTGGGAAGACGTGGCTACTTTAATGTGATATTTCCTCATCGTAGTTCATGTTTATGTTGACTATCAAAATAAAACCAAGAAACAAAATATGAAAAACCTCCAAATGAAGCTCATGACCATGAAAGTCTCAACTGACCTAAGAGGAGGATTCAAATTCTCCTCCATACTAGTGTTGCATGAAAAGTTAAATACCTTTCTAGCTTAATAAAACTTGCTTAAACCTAACACTAATAACTTTAATTGTTATCATCCAAGATAATTGATATCTATCTCATTGTCTATTGTCATAAGCTCTGTGTTAAACTATGTAATTGGCCAACCTAAAATAAGAAGAGAAATCATTCTACTAAAATCCAAGTGATAACCTAGGAGGCTAGGAGGAAGTGAATAAGCTATTTATTGTTGGATTCATTTAGAAGGTCACATACATAGAGCAGATCTTAAATATGGTCATTAGAAAATGGATATTGTGTGTATACTTCAAAAAGGTTATTGATGTATGCCCAAATGAATCATATAAATTTTTTTAACTTCAACAACCGAGAGATTCCATGGTTAGTCACTCATGTTTAAGTTTTCCAAAAGTATTCTCATGGTACATTGAGATTAAATTGGGCGATGAACATAATATCAAGTTCATCACCAGTAAATGTATTTTTGGATACACAATGATGATGTTTAGGTTGAAGAGTACATGAGTCAGTGAATTATATGAAAATAATATTTTATGATATAATATATGGTAGAACTCAAAAGTGTACATTGATGATATTTCAGTAAAAAGAAAAATATTATCCTTATTAATTTATTAGAATCTTTTTCATCACGCAAAAGAAAATTAGATTGAAGCTAAACCCAATGAAATGCACGTTTGGTGCCAAGTTTGTGCAATGACTACCCTATTGTGATCTTTCTAAACCCTGAAAAATGAAGAATAATCCTTCAATCTCAAGTATTTTACTACACAATTAGCTAATAGAGTGCCTTACATTTCAGAAGGGTTGAAGAAGTCAAATACCTTCTAGTGGGTTGGCCAAGTGTGAGGTAACCTTTGTTAAATTAAAGACCATCCATCCACTATATCCCCTAACCGATGAAGCTCTTTACTTGTATCATGGAGTACATGATACTAAAGTTAAGTCATTATTGGTGTGGAAAAAAAAGGTTGAAAGTTGCAATTGGTGTACTATGTCAAACATGCCCTTAACAACAAGCTAGAAAAAGATACCCTTCAATAAATAAGCATATGCATGTTTACTTGTATTTGACTGACATATATGGATATGCTTCCAAGCTAATTCAATCAAAGTCATCACCAACCGACCAATTTGATATGCCTTGCAAAAGTCAAAGTTCTTTATAGGATTGATAAAATGATCAATTTAGCTCAGCAAGTACGATCTCAAGTACCTTTCTTCGATCAATTATCAAAGCATAAGGCCTAACATACTTCATTATTTAGTTTTTCTTAGAGGAATGTGAACCTTATATTAGCTTAGTGTCACTTATTGATTCAAATTATCAAAGTGGCTATTTGAATAGATAGATTTTAAATATATATGTATTTTAAGGTCTTAGACTAACAAAATTTTAGAACACTTTAAACTATTAATAAAATGTTTGCTTAATTCATTTATTTTCTCTTAATGGTTGATTAGTTCACAATGCTTTGATATAATGACATATTATTAAGAAGTGTTAATTATTTCATTTGCAAGCATTTTTAATTAATAAATTTATAAAAAATTGTTATATTCTAAATAAAAAAACATCTAGATTTCTATCAAATTTGTCGGCATTTAATGATATTTTAAAAAATAAATCTTTATTTTTTATAATATTAAAATTATTAACATATCATAGTACTCTAAATTAGATATATAATATTTGATAATTGTGAACAAAAAATTCCTTAAGTTGAGAAAAACTATAATATTTAAAAATAAAAAAATTAATATTGTTTGATGAGATAAAATATATATGATATTACTCTCATTTTAATTAAATAATCTTAAAATATATATCCCAAATAAATTATTATGTTATTTTATTAGAGAAATATTGAACTTATCACATATCGATCAAATTATGTCCGTATCGAGGGCTTCACACAGAAGAGGAAATTCGAAAGCGTTGAAGGATGAGAGCGTTTTCCCAACTCCAAAATGGTCACTTCTGCACTTCCAGTCTCCTCTCATTCTGCTTTAGCGCCGATCCCAACCACGGATCCAATGTACCCTGTCGCCTCACTTTTGCCTCTGCTGCTACCCCCGCCGCCACCTTGTCGTCTTCCGCCGTCTCCGCAGACATCAACAAGCCGCTCGTTGTCGTCGGCTCAGCAAACGCCGACATATACGTTGAGATCGATCGCCTTCCCAAACAAGGCGAGACCGTAGCTGCCCGCGACGGCCAGACCCTCGCTGGCGGGAAGGGTGCGAACCAGGCATGCTGCAGCGGTCGCCTTGCGCACCCGACCTACTTTGTTGGCCAGATTGGCGACGATGCCCATGGACGACTCATTGAGGACGCGCTCCGCCTTGGTGGCGTTCGGCTTGACCGCCTTGCACGCGTCGTCGCGGCCCCTACTGGCTTTGCTGTAGTCATGCTGGAACCCGATGGCCAGAACTCTATTATCATCATCGGAGGCGCAAACATGCGGGGGTGGCCGGAGAAGGTACGTCGGGAGGATCTGAAGATAGTGGCCACTGCAGGTGTGGTGCTGCTTCAGCGGGAGATCCCGGATCGAATCAACATCCAATTTGCCGAGGTAAGTGTTTCTGTGTTATTCTAAGGAAAAAATATTCCTTTTTTTTTCTCTTGGGGCTCAATCTTATTTTAAATGGAATTTTCTAAGATGAATGGGTTGATGGAAATCACTGTTGTATGTTATATATAGCACTCCTTCGATTAGGAATTTCATGCGGCTGATAGGTGTTTCTCTTGGCCGTGATTCTAATTTGTAAAACTAAAAATTTACAGTCTTATTAAAAATTGATACCCGAATCAGTGTTTGCAGATACTTTGTTCTTGTAATGGAGCCTATTGGAATTTTGACAAGCCACATTTTCCAAATTTGTAGAAGTGCACGTGGACCTAGAACACGTGGCTTTGGTAGAATTTATGGCTTCTTACTTGTATTGTACACTTTAGAGGGATAAGATATTCAAAGAATAAAGTTTCTTCAAACTCCATAATGTGAACTTGAAAATGATTTGAGTTGAATTGTTTGCATAATCTCAGGATATTTTATGGTGATTGAAATGCAGATGGGTGGAAACTAGATCATAGCGGTGACACCCCAAATCTAATTTGAAAGAATTATTCTTTTATTTTTTTAATATACAACAATCAAAGCTACCTAATTTTTTTATCATTATGAATGTCAATGAAAATAAAATTATCAATTAAAACATCAATATATACATATGTATTCATTTTCTAAAAAAAATCATGTACGCAACTCAAGTTCTATATAATTATATCGCAATTACTCTATTCTGAGTACAAAATAATAGCTAAAATAACAAGGACCTAAACTTGAAGGATCCTGACTAATCTCACACCTCTGCTCCCCTACCATGACCTGACCTGACCTAAAATCATTTAACCATATATAATGAGTTCAAGAGCCCAACAAATAATCAAATCAAACAACTAACTCAGAGCACAATAAAGAAGTAGTATACATGTCGTTAGTAAATTCATTACAATAGCAATCTTATGATCATGAATCGATGTAGAAACATTAAAATGTACGTGAAAATGCGCAATAGTAATAATGTATGTAGCCAATAAAACAGTACAGTACGGAAGACACTAAACTAGTATAGGTGTTGAATCTATAAAACAGTCATCGTATCAGTATTATCAATTAGTAATGCAATCATATAAAGCAGTAAAACCAAAACATCAGTAAAGTTCGGCGAAATTATATCAATGAAGTAAAACCCTATAATGATGTACACATGTTATCCATTTTTTCTATATTAGTATCTTATTCATATGCTTAGTATCAATACTGTGAATCAATAATAATAACAGTATCAGTGAATCTTTAGTAGGATCAACAACAGTTCAATAATGCTATTAGTGTGTGTATTGGTAACAATATCATTATAGTGTCATCAGTAAAACTGGTGGCAATAACAGTAAAGCAATGCAATAATAAAAAATTTCGTACAGTGACAATAAATCATTAAATAGTACAATAAAGCAGTAAGATCATACAATAACAGTAACAACGAATCAATAAAATGTATTTCAATAGTCACACTAAACAAGTAAGAAGTTATGGCTTAGGCGATATTTTTTCAATAAGCAGTAGTAATCCGTATCAGTATCCCGTTGGCTCAGTAAACATAGTCGACACTCTTTGTCCGTCAGCACAATAATAAAGTATTTTAACTCCCAATCAGTATCACATGAATCAATAAAGAATAACATCAAACCACGGTATTCAAAGGAAAGCTCGTTGGTCCACTGTCCTAGACATATCAGTTAGTCTCTAGCCAACGTCAGTGAAACTAATTTTTATTTGTCCTCACACATATTATTATCACAGTACTATAACAATAATAACGATCAACTATTACTCAACCACATACCCATATTTATTTCCAATGCTTGTATTAACAGTGTGCTTACAGTAAAAATATCAGCTATTCAATTAGTAAAAACAATACAAAATACAATATCTTTCGTTTTACCCTGTGAAATTCAATAAATGCTACAGTCAACATGTCTAGGATAATAAGTATGATAAAATATAAAAAGTTGTGCCATAAAAGTTCAATAATTCCGAAGAAAATATAATATATTCTATTATGGAGAGAATCAAATAGGTAAAATCAAAATATTTGAAAGCAAAGATATGATTAGATTCACCTATAGTGATCTGAGCAATTTCCGGCTTTCCTGGCACATATGCATGTAGTTCTAAAAGGAGGCTTAAGAAGGTTTTTGTATATACTGAATTTGGATCTCTGATTTAACTTCTAATTTGTTTAAGATCAAGATTAACCTTATCCCAGTTCTTTGGGCTTAGTTTTTTAATCACTCTTCCATTCATGACTTTTAAGTTATAAAGTTTCTTCCAACTTTCTACCTTGATTGTGAAATCATTCAATATTGGTTTTAAGTAATCAAAGAAAATGCCAAAAAAATTTACATATGCTAGCTTCACCCAGTATCAGTTGAAATTATCTTTGTTGTGCTAAAGGAGTTACAAAATGGATTCAAAAATTTCTTAACTCTTGATAGGCTACAATACAACAACAACAACAACATCATCAAGCCTTTGTCCCACTACATGGGGTCGGCTACATGAATCCTTTTGCCCAATATGTCCTGTTAAAAGTCAAATTCTCATTTAAATCTAATAAAGAAAGATCATTTCTAATATTTTCTAACCAAGTCTTTTTAGGTCCACCTCTACCATTCTTAACATAAGTCAAATCTAATACCTCAACTTTCCTAACCGGGTCATCGGAAGGTCTCCGTTTAATGTGACCAAATCATCTAAGACGACTCTCTCTAATCTTATCTTCCACTGGAGTTACTCGAACCTTTTCACGTATATGCTCATTTTGTATCCTATCTCTAAGGGTAAAACCGCTCATCCACCTAAGCCTCCTCATCTCTGCAACACTTAGTATTATGCTTCTCTTTTAATGACCAACATTCGACACCATAAAACATTGTAGGTCTCACCACTATCTTATAGAATTTTCCCTTAAGTTTGAGGGGTACTTTTCTATCGCACAACAAGCCTGATGCATTCCTCCACTTCAACCATCTAACTTGAATTATGCTGATAATATCCCCATTTATTTTACCATTATTCTGAACAATAGATCTAAGATATCTAAAACATGTACAAGAGTTAATGACTTGATCGCCCAAAGTCACAATCCCCTCACTAGGTCTATTGCTATTAAAATTACACTCCATATACTCAATTTTAGATCTACTCAAGCGAAAATCTTTAGACTCTAAGGTTGACCTCCTTAATTCAAGTTTACCTGCAACTCACTCTCTAGTCTTGTTAATAAGAAGAATATCATCAGCAAAAAACATACACCAAGTTACATCCTCTTGCAAATGTCTAGTGAGAACATCCATGACTAAAGCAAAAAGATATGGGCTTAAGGCTAATGTTAATATCATCTTAATAGGATACAATAGAGAAAAATAATTCATATAATCGACTCCACGTATTGGGATAAAAGCTTGTTGTTGTTGATGTTATTATTGTTGTTAATGTATTCAATTTTTTGATGAAGAATAATCTTGACCTTGAGAATTAAAGAGAGAGAGAGAGAGAGAGAAGCTAGTTCTTATAGAATTTCTTAGAGAATTGGTTAATAAAAAAAACGACTGAACCCCTTTAGAGTGAGTCTACCAAGTTAAGAGAACATAATTTAAAGAAAGAGAGGTTTGATGCAAAATCTCATTTCAAAATTTATGATAGAGAGAGAGAGAGAGAGAGAGAGAGAGAGAGAGAGATCTTATAGAATTTCTTAGATAATTGGTTTATAAAAAACCGACTGAACCCCTTTGACTAGATAGAGTGAGTCATACCAAGTTAAGGAACATAATTTAAAGAAATAGAGGTTTGATGCAAAATCTCATTTCAAAATTTATGATCTCACATGCTTACACCTAACCTCCAACCCCTATATAGGCAGAAACTATGGTTGACATAGCTAACAATTTAGTGCAAAATGTAGAAAATAGTAGATTGATCCCTGTAGCTAATCATGTAGCAGGCAAGACCAACTTGTCAATCAGAGGCAACTCCGAACGAGCAATCGGTTATTGCTGACGAGTTGCTCGAGTTGGTTTTCTCGGCGAATACCCATGGTGCGTTCTTCTTGTCTGTTAGTGGGTACTCTTTGCTAGTACACTCAATAGGTTGACGAATACTTTAGGCAAGTACTCCTAGCAAGTTAGCAACTTTACAAGTATTTTAGTTGAGTTCAATAACTTAGTACTGAGGTCCAAGTTAAGGTTAGCTTTTATAGTCTTATACGACTTGTTGGTTTCAAGGCTCCAGGCTACTCTAAGTAGGCGAGTTTCAAGCTAAGAGTGATTCAATTCACATTGTGACTAACATGATTTTTACAAATATGAGTGTAAGGTTAGCAAACTGTTCCCATTTTGGTGAATTTTCATTTACATCTCTCGATATAACTTCGTTTGTAAGTGATTTATTCATAAAATTTATTTTCTAGTATGCCCATGCTATCCATATTTCCATGCTGTCTTTACCAGCATTTTTTTCCTACATATTCTGATGCTATTTTGGAAATTTATTCATATTAGGCTGCCAAAAATGCCGGTGTTCCAGTAATTCTAGACGCAGGAGGGGTGGAAGGTCCAATTCCAGATGAACTCCTAAAAGCTGTTGACATTTTGAGCCCTAATGAATCAGAGTTGGAACGTTTGACTGGAATGCCAACTGAGACCTTCGATGAAATTACTTTAGCTGTAATGAAATGCCATGAAATGGTGAGAGGGCAAACCAAAAATTGCTAGTCTCCAATAGTTGCATATGTTCATAAGAACTCTTGCAACCTTTTTCTTCTTGGTATGCATTATCTAAGTAGCATTTGAACAGATCAGTCAAGCTGCAAATAAATCCATGAAATGATGGGAGGGAAAACTAAAAATTGAACTTACCTCCAATAGTTGCATTTGTTGATAAGGAATTGAAGCACTGATTTTTTTCTTACTATGCCGTTATATATGTAGCATTTAACATAAATGCCATGAAATGGTGCTTTTTTTTTTTACTTTCGAAGATGAGCTGATTTGTTGAACATTTTGAAGCTTTCCGCATGACTTTTTGTTTTTGGATGCCTTTCAATTTTATGAGTTTACAGCGTGTTTGACAAAATTCATCATACTGACATTTTATGTTTATTCATAAACATTGTCGCAAATTGTTAGATATTTTGAGGACATCATTGTGCAAGCAGAGGAACAAAATGGAGAAAATATACATAGAAAACATTTAGTGCTAATTATAAGTTACATTCATTTTATGTTATTGCTAGAATAAGCTCTTAATGCATTTTTTTAAGAAAAGGATTAGCATTGCTGATATAATTACATTAGAGAAGGCTCAGTATGAAGAAAATCTGCAGATAAAAGTATACCATTTGAATCTTGGCTGGTCAGGGTGTTTGCACGGACTCTATATGAATCCTTGATAAAGGTATTTAGTATTTTACTTGATACCTTAATCTTTTTGGAAAGCTTCAGTTTGAGACATTTATTTTGTATACTATTTGCTTCTAACTGACATCTGTAGCAGGACATGATTGAGCATGTATCAGTGCCACATGAAAGTAGTATAATTTACCAAATAATAAATTGAAAAGGAAATAATTAATACAACAACATCAAACCTTTATCCCACTACGTGAGGTCGGCTACATAAATCCTTTTTCTCCATTGTGTCCTGTTAAGAGCCAAATTCTCATTTAAATCTAATAAAGAAATGTCATTTCTAATATTTTCTATCCAAATCTTTTTAGGTGTTCCTCTACCTTTTTTAATATTGGCCAAATCTAATACATCTACTCTCCTAACTGTGTCATCGGAAGGCCACCGTTTTATGTGACCAAACCATCTAAGGCAACTCTTTCCAATCTTATCTGCCACTGGAGCTACTCCAACCTTTTCACGGATATGTTCGTTTCTTATCGTGTCTCTAAGAGTAAAGCCACTCATCCACCTGAGCATCCACATCTCTGCAACACTTAACTTAATATTATGTTTCTCTTTTAATGGCCAACATTCTGCACCATAAGTCATTGTCGGTCTCACACCATCTCATAAAATTTTCCCTTAAGTTTGAGTGGTACTTTTCTATCACACAACAAGCCTGATGCATTCCTCCACTTCAACTATCCAACTTGAATTCTACTAATAATATCCCATTTATTTCACCAGCACTCTGAACAATAGATCCAAGATGTTTATAATGTGTACTCTTATTAATGACTTAATCACTCAAAGTCACAAACCTCCAACTAGATCTATTACTACTAAAATTGCACTACATGTATTCGATTTTACATCTACTCAAACGAAAACCTTTAGACCTTAAGGTTGACCTCCATAATTCAAGTCGACGGCTAGGTCTCAAGTCCTGGATGAAAAATGTGGAGAGTTGCGCTAGGTAGTCGACAACCAGTATAAAACTTGTCGAATAATCATGACAAAAAAGAAATAATTAATAATCCAAAATATTTTAGTCAAAATATACATCACATAATGTGCTTTATAAGGAATCTATCTCGCCCTCCTTTTGCAGTGGCAACATCAGTCAATGTTTATTTTCAAGAGTATTTTTTACTTGCATAAATTTTATGATGCCAGCACCACCATCAATTTATCACGAACAACAAAGAAAGAGGTTCATAAATTTTGTTGAATATGGAAATAATTATTATTTTAGTAGCAAAAAGAAAGTATCAAGGGCTTATTTAGTTTGCTGAAAAAAGAATACAGAGTAAAAGGAATGCAATGTATCTAATATGTTTTAAAGTTGTTGGATGATTGTAAATAAATGCAAGTATTTTTTTTTTTTTTTTGCTTGAAGTAAAATGAGGATGCATTGTTGAAATCCTCAAGGAGTGCAGTAAAACAGTAAACACAAAAACAATAAATTATTCTGTGCGGACACCAGACTTTTTGGAAGCGACTCAGAACACGCCACCTCACCCGGCACACAGCAAAAAAATGACGTGACACATTCTGATTCTCCTCTGGACGACATCCGTATCCGCATAAAATAATCTATCCACAGAAACGAGAAAAACAGAGGAGATAATTTTTCCTTGACCAAATTTTTTTTTTAACTTTAGCTACATGTTGTTATTAGTAGATAACTTTCAAATTCCAAATGCTGCAGAAGCCTTTCCGTGGTATTGAGAAAATAGGTTGTCGTCATCTTTCGGTAGGGATGCAGAGAGCAGACATCAGTGTCAGATAGAAGAGAGAGTGGAGCAGGTCTGGACTTGCTTTATGATGTCGCCAGAGTCAGATATAGTGTTGCATGTAGCACTACCTTTATCAAGTATAAAACCCAACAATAGTGGTGGCTGGTGGCTGACGGTGGCAGTGGTGTCATACGGCTGCAGGCAAAAGTGACCAGTGGGTGGCTGTGGAGGACAGGTACGGCAGTGGTAAGTAACAGTGAAGGTGGGCAGTGGCTAGCAGGGGTGGCCGGTGACCACTGTGGACGACTGGTGGCCTAGTGGCGGGGACGGGCGACGATGGGTGACAACCAAGGCAACAATGAAAAATAAGTTACAGTGTATTTGATACTTGGCCAAATCTAACAATTTTCAAATATACTGAAATTAAAATAGATGTTGATTTCAAATACTTCAAAATTTTACTCTGCATTTCTTTTACTTAAAACGGAACACCAATACTTTCAAACCAAACACTAATATTTTTAAAACCCCTATATATTTTGAATATTTTACACCTATTTTACTTCAAACCAAACAACCCCTAAGTGATTTTGTAAAACTTACCAGTGATTGTCTTTATGTTGTGATGCGAATAGTTTTGTGGAGAGAACATGAGCACTTGTTTGAAGCACAATGCTTATATGCTTTCTGTTGCTTTTTCCCCCGAAATTACTTTCTATTGATGCCAATCCAATAACCACATTAGTTGCCGTTGATGTAACTCATACTTTCCAAGGATTGAAACTGTTGTTGGTTCATTAGCTCCAGAAACTCCTATACCATATGTGAAAACAATTTCATTAGCCATTATTTTATCATGTAAAGTATCAATATTGCAATAGATTTCCGAACTTTTTTTTCTTTTGGGAAAAAAATAAGAAGTTAATTCTTACATTATATACTCGGTGCCAGCATGATCATACTTTCTTGTTTTTATTGTTCATACAAAGAACATAATAATACTCAAACTGCTGCCTCATCTATAAGCTTGGTTTCAGGGTGTGAAGAAAATCCTCTTAAAACTTGGGTCCAAAGGATCAGCTCTATTTGTAGAAGGGGAAAAAGCATTACGACAAGCTGCCATCCCAGCTTCTGAAGTCGTCGACACAACCGGTGCTGGTGATACCTTCACTGCTGCTTTTGCAGTGGCTCTTGTTGAGGGCTTGAGCTTGAAGGGCTGCTTGGAATTTGCTGGTGAGCTCAGATTTCAATCTAAAGGTGTATTCATTCCTTTATATTACAATCTTATTAGAAATAAATCTGGTCAAGATATTGTTAGGCCAGTTCACCCTGAACTGGCCCTGCCGGCCCAAGGGCCAGCTCAGATGTATTACAGGAGGCGGAAGCAGTCCGGCTCCCATTGCCTTGTTCGCCCACTTGGAGGGCCCTACTAGTCCACTTAAGTTCAAATTGAAAAGGAGGGGGCGGTTTGAGCTTAAGAGGGAAATTAGATTAGGAAAATTTTTGTATTATAGAGCATGAGATGTTTAGGGAGGGATTATGTTTTGATTTGTTCTCAATTAGAGTTTATTGGCTGCTTGGACTCTAGACTCTCTTATCTAGAGATTAGGGAGAGACGATCCTCCTCTCGAATTGAGGATCAATTGCATCTTGCTTTGAGTTTTGCTTTGCTTTGATTCCACTATTGCAATCTATCGTTTCTAGACTGATTCGTCCAGTTTTTCTTGCTTTTCTCGCTATTTTGGACCAATTATTGCTAGGATTGTTTGCGAACTCAAGTATTTCCTTTTGAATTACTTGCAAATTCAAGTATTTCCTATCAGATATATATAATAAAATAGTATAATATTGAGATATTTATATGTGATCAGGAGAATAAATATCATTGAAATTGACACTTAGCGTTCATCTTTCTGCAGCTGCAGCTGCTTCACTTTGTGTTGAAGTGAAGGGAGCCATTGCAAGCATGCCTGAGAGGACGGCTGTTTTAGAGCGACTTCAATCTGTTGATGCAAAAGGCCTTCATGCAAGCTATTGATAATGGAGGAAGAGGAACTGTTCTTATATTGAGAATAAAACTCTGAGGTGCTGTTGGGATTGTGCATAAAAACAACTGTAAGTTTATTCCAATTAAATAATTTCAAAACTCAGTCTCATTTAGATTTCATTTGAGACGGCTTTCTTATTGCTTTTTAGAAAGCCATCACAAATGAAGACTTAGCCATATTTTTTCTAAGTTTATGCCTGAAAATTAACAGATATTCTAATAAGAGGGAGTGGTGGAATAAAGTGAATTCCTCAAGATTAAATTTGTTTTTCATTCTTATTTCATTCACTTTAAAACTTTCAACATCCTTTAGCCAAAGCTCATGTGATTAACCCGAATTTTCTCGAGCTAAGTCTAATGTCACTCAGCCAGCTTGGGGTATCAATTTATTGAACTCACCATAGCCACTTCAATCGAAATATTTGTTTGCAAGGCGACCATGAAAGCTGCAAGAAATCAGGTGCAACTTGTTTGAGATATTTAGACTTCGTTTGGGATAATTTTCTTTCTACTTTCTAAAACAGTTTTATGATATAAAAATTTCAAGTTCAAGAAATTTTGGTACTAAAAAGTTGTTTTAAAAAAATCATAAGAAAGCTATCCCAAATGGAGAGATTATTATGTGCGAGTCTGGACACAGAGAACTGTTCGGTTTTGTGACTGTATACAACAGTGTTTTTACTGTTCACAGTCACAAAACTGAACGGTTCTCTGTGTCCAAACTCCGCATATAATAATCTCTCCAAATGAAGCCTCAATCTTAGGAGAAATTATTACGAGCGGAGTCCATACATAGAGTTACATTCAGACATGTGAGTGTACATACTAGTTTACACTGAATACAAAAGTACATTGAGTATACTCACAGTCTGGATGTATAATTACGTCCAGACTTCGCACGTAATAATTTCTTCTATCTTAGAATAAACTTAAACCAAGCCATCAAAGCCATTTAGCTCAGCTACTCTCCGCTGCTTGGCGAAAATTGAGTTCAGGCTCCATCATTATCAGAAAAAAAATAAAATAAAAGCTTTCAAAAAAAGGATGATCATAAAAAGAAACTCGCAAGACACAGATCGCAGAACAAACCCACCCAACTCCACCTCAACCAAAATACTTGAAAAGAAGGATGGCTTCAGGAAGGTCACTGGCAGCATTCAATAAGCAAAGGTAACAGAGGATAAATCCTCAATGCAGGGGTGCTGTGAATCTAATGCAAAAAAAGTAT